TGGTACAGCTGCTTCCCGATGCACAGACACACACACACACACACACACACACACACACACACACACACACACACACACACACACACACACACACACAGACACACACACTCCACATGGTGTACTGTGTTTGAGTGAAAGGATCAAACCAATCATTTAGCTAAATTTGAGTTTCATAGAGGAAGTAGTACTTTTCAGTCTAATGCTCCTGCTGTGACGTGCAAGAGCCACTGCAGGCTTCTCTTCATAACGACTCAACTAAAAACTAGATGCTGTTTTTCCCATTTTTGACAACAGCATCCTGGAATTTATCCTTTATTCCAAAGACAACAGCGAATGTTGCCTTTACCAGCATCGTCCTCTGTGCAGCACGGTGGGTCACGTGGGACGGAGGTCACAGTACTGCAGAAGTATGCTGTGTCTTTTCTGACACGGCCACTAGGAGTAGCCAAAGTTAAACATTTTCAGTCTTCAAGTCAGGATGTTGTTGCAAAGTCTGATTAGTTCTCTAATGAAACTGATGAAAGACATTATTACCAGATAAAAGTGTGTATTTCTGGAATGCATTATAAGGTACCACTTATACTGGACTTAAAAGTGAGTGAGACACAATAATAAAAGCTGCAGTGTAATCGCAGCAAATGGAGCTAAATATAGTCAGCGAACTAACTTTCTATTCATTTTCCATTTGTTTGATTATTGTTCTTTTATTTAATAAACCGGCCTTTGATGGATTTACCTGTGATCATTTCTGTCTCTTTGATGTTTGTTTTCAGTCGGTTTACTTACGTTGGCAGTTTTTCGCCGTGACAGCATCTCCATAGTAACCATCAGCGCAACTGCCGCACGCCGCTCCGCCGTAACCTTGCCGACAGCGCACACACTGGCCTGTGACCGGATCACAGCTGCCAGGTATTGATAGGTCCAGGTTGTCATGGCAATCACAGGGCTGGCAGGAGCCTCCTGGAACAGCGGGCTTGCCGTAGTATCCGTTGGAACATCTAGGAGGCAGCAGAGAGAAACAGTTGACTGCGCGTGTTTCAAACATCGGATTTAGTCGATTCCCTGCCATAGTGGTGGCATCACATGCTCAGATTAAATTGACAGAACAAACTTTCACCAGGATTGTCTAATTTTTTTGACAAAACAAAAAATCTATAAGAACAAAATGCTCTTAAAGTATTTCAACGATTGATCCAACAACCCAGCTGGTGAGCGCTCGTGCTGCGGCAACTAGAATTCGTCCCGTTATTATCCTCCTCACAGTATAATATGGGTCTTACTGCAGGAAGTGAAGTTTTGCGTTTATGTGACAAATACTCTGGAAGAAAAAAATCTGTGGCTCAAACTGTGTGCAGAAAACAACTTCCTGATCTCCGATGAGTTTTACTCAAATAAAGATATCTCAGTGAAATGAATAATAGAAACTCATCATGATTAAATATATTTTACAGACATTTGTTATGTCCTTTCTAACATTTTATCTGAAGCAGCATTATTGGTTCTCTGTCCATCCTGTTTTTAGAATAGATTTGTTTTTCTCATGTTGAAGTAGAAATGCCATCCACTTTATTTCTGTCGCTGTTGGAAAGAAAAATTAAAAAATGTCCGTCGGCCCTCTCGTGCAAGGATAAGGACACATCAATGTCGACTGCCACACAAATTGTCTGAGTTTTTCTTATTTCATTTGTAATAAGAGGAAGTCTAGATGCTGCACACAATATTAACTGGAGGAGACAGTTCTGAGAATGCAGCCTCTTGAAAGAGCCACTGAAAGCAAATAAAACAGGCCTGAGCTGAACTAAAGCTCGACCGGCCGAGGAGGGAATTGGGTTGAAATGGGAGAGAGAGAGAGAGAGAGAGAGGGTGGGGGGGGAGAATGGAGAGTGAGAGTAGAGGAAAAGAAAGAGAGATAGAGACGAGGGGGGAAAAGGTCTTCACGTTGAAGAGTGGATTGAATTTAGAGAGTGGGGGGGGGGTAAAGGACAGAGAGAGGGAAAGAGTCAAGAGCAGCCAGCCATTATTACCACTGACCCTCCTTGGTACTCAATAGAACTGGTTTATTAGCTTCTGTGTGTGTGTGTGTGTGTGTGTGTG